GCACCAGCAATGAACAGCCAATACAGTTTCCACGGCGATCGATGCGCGAGCGACACACGTTATACTTAAGTTTGGATGAAAACAGTCTTCATGAGAATCTGTCGAGCGACGGTGCATTTTTCCGCAGTCTGGTCGAGCGTGGTGCAGATAATCCTCCAAAACAGGTTATTTTTGCAGCGTTGCGACACGCCTTCCTCCCATCTCGACCTTAAAACATTTGGGATCAGACAAGTGTGCGTGCCCTATGTGTGTGTGTGTGTGTGTGTATGTGTGTGTATGTATCGTAGCCAACACCCAGTGATAGCTATATATTTATAATTATATACGAGAGACTGTAGTTACAGATAATACTTGAAATACGAGAGGAGGACAACAAATATAAATAGCGACGCACACTAGGGCAGCCGGTGCGATCATGCGTTTTGTGGAGCCCTGCCCAGTGAACGTTTGCCTGGTAAAAATATAACTGTTTTACACTTTCATATGTGGAAAAATAATCGATACACGCGAGCGTACGGGAAGGCTGAATTTAAATTTGCGGGATTACGTGTGGGAAGGGGACATTACCGTCAAACTTCAGCTTCCTGGCTTTTATGGTTACCGAGATAATATTTTTTTTGCCAAAATTTTGACGGAGCCATAGGTGATACCCGAGAGCGCGGGAACGCTGAATTTAAATTTACGAGGTCGTACTTGGGCAGGGCCATTACCCTAAAATTTAGACTTCCTGAGTTAGCAATTTACTGGAAAAAATTTTTCACGAGCCTGCACTCGGGTACCACGCATAATTAATGTCTGGGTTTGAGCTCGTTGAGACTTATTTTCACGGGGAACATCTTCCTAAAACTACAGTCTTTTAGCTTTTCAGATTCTCGGGTTATGAACTTACCCGAGAAAAACTTTGGTGAACTCGTGCGTAGGTACCACGCATGACCGAGGGCTGGGTTTGAGCTCGTTGAGACTAATCTGGACGGGGAACATTCCTTTAAGATTTCAGCGTTCTAGCGCCTCAGATCCCCGAGCTATGAACACACACAGAAAAAATTTTGGCGGGCCCATACGCCGGTACCACGCCTATCCGGGGGTTGGATTTGAGCTCATTAGTGCATACTTGGACAGGGAACATTCCCTTAAGATTTCAGCTTTCTAGGTTTTCTGGTTCGCGAGTTAGCAGCTTACCCGTAAAAAAATTTTGGCGGGCTCGTACACGAGTACCACGCCTATCCGGGGGTTGGATTTGAGCTCATTAGTGCATACTTGGACGGGGAACATGCGCTTAAAATTTCAGCTTTCTAGCATCTCAGATCCCCGAGTTATGAACTTACCCGGGAAAAATTTTGGCGGGCCCGTACTCCGGTACCACGCTTACCCGGAGGTTGGGTTTCAGCTCATTAGTACCTACTAGGACGGGGAACATTCCATTAAAATTCCAGCTCTCTAGCTTTTCGGGCTCGCGAATTGGCAGATTACCCGTAAAAAACTTTGACGGGCTCTTACGTGGGTACCACGCGAGAAAGGCCGCCATTTTGGGATGGGGATACGTACATGCATGTAGATTAAGTTCCCGAAATTTCAGCCCCGTAGCTTTCGTAGGTCTCGAGATGAAAAATCGGTACAGAGGCCCTGCGCACGCACGCACAGACACAGACACACACGCACACAGACAACCTCTCGTCAGTATGCGTTTTTCGCATTGCAGAGCTGCAAAAAACACATAAAAACTTAAATAAGCACGAGGCCAAGGACTTTGAAACTGTGCGTTAGTGATATAAATCCGGATTTCATTAATCCTGTGTCAAAATTTTAAGCCCAGAGCTTTCAAACCTGCTTTTTTTTTTTTTTTTTTTTTTTTGAAT